AATTTTTTTCGGGGATCTGACGGAGAATTTGCCCAATCACAGCTCGGCAATGTTCTTGACTAGAAAGCTTTTTTGGTCTCGATCACGCACCTTTGAGCTCATCATCGTGCATCGTGTCCGTGGTTGTCAGACGTAGCCACATAGTTAGTCGTGTGGTGGCTTTTGCTCCGTGAACAGCGCAACTGGCTTTTCCAGACGTTTCACGACGTGAACTGGCCGCGGGGCCTTTGGATGAGCTCGCCGCACAGCGGCGCCTCGATGGGTTGCTTTCGCCCTTCGCGCGGCGCGATCGAGTCGTTCCACGAACGTTCGACCGCGACCTTCATGCCACGTGGCAGTCGTCGGTCGATCCGAGCTCTTCTCCTCACGATCGCCATTCGTCTTGATCGTCTCAGCTCCGACCGTGCTATGCGAAAGTGATGAACGTGAAAGCAGGAGCGAAAGCAGGAGCGGCAGCAGAGACAGCAGCACGAGCAGCGACTTGGATGTTTCTGAAACGCGTCTCGGGAAACGTGAATTCGAGTACGTAGGTGATCCAAGCGCATATGCTGCTCGCGCTGCTAGATCACTTCAACCATGAGTTTTACTACACGACAGACTGGCAGGTGCGGCCAGGTTCTAACATGTATGGGTAGGTTTGGGCAGGTTTGGCCAGGTACCCGCATGTTCAAGGGGGTTCAGGTGGGTGAGCAACTGCTTCTAGATCTCTTGAACCACAAGATTCATTACAAGGCAGACTGGCAGGTACTGATAGGTGGGGTCAGGTACAAACAGGTGCAAGGGAGTGAGCAAGCTGTGAGGTGACTGCGGAGGTGCACTTGTTGCCGCCTCCGCTAGATCTCTTCAACCACGACTTCTAGTCAGCAGACTGGCAGGTACGGATAGGTATGGACAGGTAAGGGTAGGTGCAGACAGGTACGGGGCAGATATGGGCAGGTACAGGCAGGTTCAACAGGTTCGGACAGGTTTGTCAGGTTCGGGCAATCTCTGGAGGTGAAAGAGGCCCATTCAGAGTAATTTAAACATGAATTTTAACTGGCAGGTCAGAGCCTTTTTTTTCCTTCTTCCCCTCCCCTTGCTCTCCCCACACCTTGCATCCCCTCTCCCTTCTTTCGACAAACAGTCATCTCCATTTCTCTCCTCCTTTCCTTCCTCACTCCGCTTCTCTCCCTCCCCCCCCTCCTCTCCCCTCCCGTTTTTTGCCACGTCAGCCCACCATTCACTCCTCCACTGCTGACATCAACAACTTTGCTGCTGACGTCATCTCTCCAGGCCAGCCAATCAGCGTGGGCTATGGCTCCATGGACACCGCCCAGTTCCTGCTGCTGTACGGCTTCCTGCCGCCCAACAACCCATTTGACCAGTTCGTCCTTTTCGAAAACGCCACAGTGCTTCTTGACTACTACGAGACAAAATCTTGCCGAGTGAGCTCTGTCTCTCACACTCACGTCTTCCCAGAGGGACCTGCAGGTGGGTGCTTTGAGACGTCTCAAAACACTCCTTCATAAACAGACTTCATAAACAGAGGGATCTGCAGGTGGGTGCTACAAGGTTGCCTGGCTGCAGGTGAGTGGTACCATGTAAGTGTCTGCATGCGGGCATGCCTCCCAGTCGCAGAGTGGCACTGGGCCACTACCGCCCAGTGGGGTGGGCTCTGGCCTTCACACTCACGTCCTCCCAGCGTGCTTCGTAGTCGAAGAGTGACGTGGAACTCGGGCAGCGCCCGAGTGGGCCCAGTGGGCCCTGGCTACTACGTGCACGTCCTCCCAGCGTGCTTCGGAGTCAAAGAGTGGCACGTGAGCAGCTCAAGGGGCTCTGCCTCTCACGAGCGCGTTCTTTCAAAGGAATCTGTCTGCACATGGGTGGGTGCCTCCCGCTTGCACTGTGACGCTGGCCCACTGTAGCATATTGGGCCCTGATTCACTGAGAGAGGGACGCACTGATTCGTGAGGCTCGTATAATTTGTTTTTAAGATTTATCTGCCCCCTTGGGATTGTGTGCAGGCCATGTGCAACGACAGCGAGGGGAGGAGGGAGAGAGCAACGCTCTTGTGGCCATCAAACAACCGCCATCCTTCCAGGTACACGTGGCTCGCCACAAGTGAGTGTTGACACGTCTCAAACGTAAAGCTGCCAGTAATTAAGCCATCAACCATGCAAGACAACTTTTGAGGCGCCTCAAAAGTAAGCCATCTACCATGCAAGACATTTTTCACACTTCTTTTTGTACGCTGCTCCCCCTTGCCTCATTCTCCTCCATGTTCCCCTCTTTCCATGCATTTTGTGGGCCTCTCACATATGTCACTTGAATGTTCTCAGATCGCTCAAAGATGTGTTATATCAGTCAAGACAAACCCAACAAACAATTGCTTTCTCCATTTCCTTCTCCTTACGTTCTTGCATCTCGTCTCTCGTCTCTCTCGCTCTTATCTCCCCACTGCAGAGAGGGTGCTAGAAGAGACAAGGGATGCCGCCCAGGTGCTGCCGGTGCTGTCCAGGCAGCGCAGCGAGGAGATATCGTCAGCGCTGACGAGGCGACAGCTGTCGGAAGACAAGTGGTGGACAGCTGTCAGTCGCGTGGTGCAGGGTGAGTGTGCCGGGGTGTGTGTAAGGGGGGGGGGAGGGGAGTGTGTGTGTTAGGGGTTGAATCTTGGTGGGGAGAGTGTGTGGAGGAGAGTGTGGAGGTGAGTGTGTAGAGGTGAGTGTGTGGAGGTGAGTGTGTGGAGGTGAGTGTGTGGAGGTGAGTGTGTGGAGGTGAGTGTGATGTACAGTGTGACGTTTTCTTTTTCTCCTGTGCCGCCCAGGGCTAGCCCTCATGGCAAAGCAGGTGCAGGCGAAGCTAGAGGCAAACTGCAACACCTCTTCACGACTTGACATGCCCTTCTCTGCCCTTATTTGCAACACCTCTTCACGACTTGACCATGTGCCCTGTGCCGCCCAGGGCTAGCCCTCATGGCGAAGCAGGTGCAGGCGGAGCTCGAGGCGGACGGCAGTCTGCAGGACTCCGCCAGCTCAGCAGGGGCGGCGGCGGGTGGCAGGTGGGTGCAGCTGGCAGCAACGGGGGAGGAGATGGCGGGCGGCACAGTTGTGTGACCGGGAGGGAGTGACTGCTGCACTGTGTGTGCATGGGGGCAGAGGGGTGAGAGTCCAGCCGAGCTGGTGCTGCATTCTCTACACTGTGGTGTGGGATGGGTCCCCTGTGGTGGCTTTGTCTCCCTGCTCCACTCAGCCTGGTGGTGGCAGGTGGGTGCGCCATGTAGCTACTGGGGAGGAGATGGCGGGAGGGAAGGTGATGTGACTGGGAGGGAGGGACTGCTGCACTGTGCATGGGGATAGAGTGGTGTGAGTTGAGTTGGGAAACTGATGGACTGCCACGAGTGGCGCCTGTCGCGCACACGTCACCCAGGGCTGACGTTTCATTTTAAGCCTCCCTGATTCAGGGGAAAATTTCCCCCCTCTATTATGGGTGCATATATTCCACAGGTAGGCTACTCTGATTGCTCAGTTGTTGAAAAGTAGTTAACTCTGTATTGCTCAGGGTCGAGAATTGAACATCAATGTAGTAACGCGCACTGTGTTTAACGGGGAAAAAGGTTTCGCTCCGCATGATTCCCAACACAACGCGACATCATTTCATGCACACCTTGTGGGCGTTACTTTCTCACCTTAACTTTCTCTGAATGGTATTTCTCCACACGTTTTAGCGCGGGGAAGAAACGAGCAATTTCGGTCCACCAAACAGTTCGGTACCATAGATGTGCCAAGATTTCCTATTCGCTGATTACCCGCAATTCGCCAACATCATTGTGCGAAACGCAAAAAATGTGTTGGTAACTTCACGCACACGCAATTGCGACAATACAACTGACATCGTCGAATTCTGTGAAACTAACATACGTAGAGTGTATTCACCTGTCAGACATGTTGCCCGCGCGCTGCTCACGCTCTGGCTGTACTGCGACCAGTCCGAAGGCGGGGTTATTGAAGGAAATTTCCGAGAAACTTCGTTCCGATAAGGTCAAATTCAGAGTCCACATAACGCGTACTCTACTTTGACAGAGTCAGTAAGAAACACTACTCTGAGTCCTAGATACAATATTTCAGGGTTCGCTAAAGCACTATTCTGAATGGATCAGTGTTCACAAGTCAGAAATTCTGAAATTGCAGGGACCACCAGGTGAGAAGCCTGTAATCACCCTGAAATCAGGGTAATTACCCTGATAAAATCAGCCCTGACGTCACCTCTTTTTTTTCGAGATTGGCGCAAATTTGGACAATCAAAACACGAGCTTTTGAAAACCATCTTCATTACAGTATGATTCCAGAACTCAATAAAACCATTTACAACCATCTCCCGACTTCCAATCAACTTGTCTACACATCAAACAATAGGTTTTTTCTTTCTCTTACCCTCTACCCAAAGTTCATCTCATCTACCGTAAAGTTACTCTCTACCTGAAGTTCGAACTGAGAGAAGTTAAGAAAGTAGATGATGTCTTGCACCACAGAAAATGGAAGGCACCTATGATCACTACCGGTACCGCTGCCAGCTGCAGGCTTGCTCGAAGAATCTACTTGCAGGCTATGCTCGAAGAATCTACTGCAGGCTTGCTCGAAGAATCTACTGCAGGCTTGCTCGAAGAATCTACTGCATGCTTGCTCGAAGAATCTTACTGCATGGTTGCTCGAAGAATCTACTGCATAGCGGATTTCAGCGTGGCTGTGCGGAGTCATAGGGTTCCATGGGCTGTGGGCTGTGCAGAACAGGAACTACGGTACCGTAAATCACGAGCTTCTAAAAATCAGCACTTTATTAATACATTAACACATCCACCTCCAACACCACAACAGCACGTCTACACTTCAAAGATAATAACAGGCATACAACTTCTCATACTGTCCTACGACTGTAGGGTTCAAATCAAGCAGCTGCTGCCAGCATTGAGCAGAGCATTGTTGGCATCCTGGCTCGCTTCCCACAGAACCACCCTCCATAGCAGGGCCTATGTTTGGTTTTTTGGCTACTCACGATTAGCAGTGTAGCCTTTTTCAAAACCCTTCTGATCAGTGTGTAATTTTCGTTACACTGATACATCAGTGTAACATTGAGTTTCGAAAAAATTACCCCAGAGCATCAGTGTAGTATATTTGTGTAACCTTTGTCAGAGGTCCACTGAAGATCCCCGATTGATCCTAGGGAGGGGTTACATGCTCGTTGTCCTGGGGGGTGTTATGTGATGCTATCATTTGCATTCACGTCTGTCTGCCTCCCATCATATGTTCGTGTGTTGCATGCGTGGTGTGAGCGTGTGCAAGAATTTGTGTTTGGTGTTGTTTGGATTTTCTGAGTGTGTGTGAGTGTTATTTGCCTTGAGCAGATATCTGAAGTGACTCCTCTGCTTGAGAGCTTTCCGACGAACCAAGAATCGCCGCGATCGGAGCAAGAACGAGAAAGATATGATCGTTCGAAGTTTTGATTGAGATGCGGCGACTATGGGAATTTGCTGGTTGACTCAATATGGGGTACAGACTTTGGGGGTTGGGAAATTCGTCACCATCACTGTAGATGATGCCAAGTGGTTGGGAGAAGCCAAACCAGGTTGGCAATTGTGGCCAAGTTGGGTGAGGTGGATGGCATGAGTTGGGAAAGTGACAAATTTCAAAGTTGGGGTGCCTATAGAGAGGGGAAATGTGTGGTATGGGGTTTCCTTGGTTGGGGACTCCCTTGGGACCTTCTCTCTCGTCCTCCTCATCCTCTCCTACCTGGTTCAATTGCTACTCCAACTTTCTTGTGTGAACTTGTGAGATAATTGTGATTGAGTTACGTTTTCTATGGCAGCATACCCCCTAGTGCGCCGAAGTTCATAACTCGAGTTATACTCCATATTTTGATACTATTCACATTGGGAAAGATAGCCACGGTCAAGGGCTACAACATACTCGAGTTTAAAAGAATTCTAAATGTGCGTTAATCGTCGACGGCATTTCTTGTGACGACGACTTTTCTGTCCAGAATTGTAGTTGACGATTTTGAGATATTTCAGCCCCCTAATCTTCATTGACTCCATCCTTAGTCTCTAACAAGTGGTATCAGAGCTGATTAAGGACTTTGTGGAGAGTCTACTGAAGTGTGAAGTGTGAAAAAATGAGAATGGTTGACTAGGAAAATGAGTTGGGTACAAATATGAAACCCTAGGAAACTGTACCCCATAGTGTCTACCCCACTACAGCCTACACATGCTATGTGATTAATCTTTGACACACCCCCATAGGCAAAGTGGGGAGAACAAGGGGTCACAAGACCAGTCAATCAAAGCAAGCTCAGGGTGGATCACAACGTCACCACACATTCCGAGCACAGGTTCAAAGGCCACAAAGCCAGTTCACATGCAGGATTATATATACAAGGTAAACAAGCATGTACAGGTATATATATAGATCACAGTACAAGTAAAGTCAAGAGGTAAGCAAGTGGGGCCAAGTAGGCACAAGACCTAGCATAGTACAGAAGTGCTGATGATCACAAGGCTGAAGTGCCTTGGTGAAGATATCAGGCAGTGTTGGCCTGAGAGGCCACGTAAGCAAGGCGTAGCTGACCACGCTGCTGCAGCTCACGAGCAAGGAAGTAACGAAGAGCAATGTGCTTCGTTCTGTGCTCCAGTCTGTGCTCCCGACACAAGGCCAGCATGGCCTTGTTGTCTACGTACAGAACAGGAGGAGAACGAGGCGGCTCTCCCAGGTCAGTCAGCAGGTAGGTGAGCCAGCGTAACTCCTGTGCAGCCATGGCCCCTGCGTAGATCTCAGCCTCACAGCTGGAGCTGAGAACAGAAGACGAGCGGGTAGACCGCCACGAAACAGAACCGGAACCAAGGCTGAAGGTGTAACCCTGTGACGACCGCTGAGTAGCCAGGTCTTCAACCCAAGACGCGTCTGCGTGACCAGTGAGGACCACTGGACTCCGCCCTCCAAGCACGAGCCCCATGCCCGACGTACTGCACTAGTAGCGCAACACCCTCTTCGTGGCCGCCATGTGCTCTGGTCGGTGTCTGCCAGGAGCAACATAGTGTGCCAAGATGCTAAGAGGGTATGCCAGGTCAGGTCGAGTGCAGGTCATCAGGTACATGAGGCAGCCAACAAGCTCTGGGTACGGGCCACTCGGCTCTACGGACTCATCCGAAGGCAGAGCTGAGAGCGAGTGGCGAGTAGACAGAGGAGTGGCCTGAGTACGTGAAGTCGAAGCGCTGAAGGACCTGCTGCACCATGTGTGACTGAGTCAGGGTAATGGTGCGCCGTGCTCTGTCCCGGGTGATCTGCAAGCCAAGATAGCTGCGCAGTTCACCCAGGTCTGTGCACGTGTGTCTCTTCTGCAGCTCGGACTTCACGTGGGCGAGTCCAGCAGTGTCAGCCGTAGCAAACACCAAGTCGTCGACGTACACGAGGATGTAGAACGGCGGCAAGCAAAGTGTCGGTGCGAAGAAACAGCGACGGGTCAGCGGTAGAAGGAGCAAACCCAAGAGCCGCAAGAGTAGTCCTCAGTGTGTCGTGCCACTCACGGGGCGCCTGGCGGAGACCGTAGACTGGCCGCCGGAGGCTCCACTGGGTACCAAGAGGAAACGACCGAGTGAAGCCAGGTGGGCGGCGCAGCCAGATCTCCTCGTGCAGGCTGCCCTGTAGGAAAGCAGTGCTGAAGTCAAGAGAGTGAAGCTCGTAGTCACGCTGAGCAGCGACGTGCAGCAGAACCCGAAGAGTGGTCATCTTTGGGGTCGGGGAGAAGGTCTGAAAGTAGTCAACTCCCTGCCGCTGACTGAAGCCTCGAGCCACGTAACGCGCCTTGAAGACAGGCGGAGAACCCGGCGGCCGCTTTACCCTGAAAATCCACATGCCACTGACGATGTTCGCCCCAGGTGGGGGAACCTCGTCGACGTAGGTGCCTGTGGACTTCCGTCCATGGCTGACTGCCACTGAGAGGAGTAAGGACCTCTATCGCCTCTGCGTAAGAGCGCGGGGTCGGGATGTCTGGTGCATCCGGGTCTCCCTCAGGGGCAAGCAGCATGGACACGAGATGAGGTCAAGCAGTAGCAAAACACTGGAACTCCTCCTGCCTGTCCTCAAGGACGTCCGTGCTAAGAGCACACTCACCCCCGACGGACGGAGGACAGACAGACTCAGACTCAGCAACAAGACTAGCGGCGTAGTCTAGACGACAGTGAGCAGCGAAGTCGACAAGCTCGGCAACTAAGGCAGACGCAGCAGTGGACTCAAAGGAAGGGTCAGTGACAACAGTGGCTAGGAAACGCG